GCTGGGGCTGGGTTTCAGAGGATCAGGGCTGGGTTTTGGGGGGCTGGGATGGGTTCTGTTGGGCTGGAGATGGGTTTTGTGGGACCCGGGATGGGTTTTTGGGGGCTGGGGCTGGGTTTCAGAGGATCAGGGCTGGGTTTTGGGGGGCTGGGATGGGTTCTGTTGGGCTGGAGATGGGTTTTGTGGGACCCGGGATGGGTTTTTGGGGGCTGGGGCTGGGTTTCAGAGGATCAGGGCTGGGGTTTGTGGTGGGTTTCAGAGGATCAGGGCTGGGTTTTGGGGCACCGGAACCTGCAGCGCCGTTGGGGGCCCAGCTGAGGCACCTGGGTGTCCCAAGGCCCTGCTGGGTGCCGAGTGGTGGCTCCCAAGCCCCCGGCCAGGAGCTGATGCACAACAGGCGCGCCGGTGGTGGGCGCCAAGCGCTATGACATGGTGGCCATGGTGGGGAAGGGGACCTGCAGGGACGGGACCCGGGGCTGGGGGGGGAGGACAGGGGGGCTGGTGAAAAAAAAGAACAATGGCCACCGTGGCCAGATGGTGAAGAATGAGCTGAGGCTGCTGCGGGCCTAGTGGGAGGTGGACACGGAGGAGTCGCACATCATCCGTTTACTCGAGTCCTTCAGCGACGGTACCTGTAGCTACCTGGTCTTCGAGCTGCTGGGGCAAAACCTCTTTGACTTCCAAACTTCTTGCCGTTGCCCATCCGGCACATCCCTACCATCATGGCGCAGGTGCTGGCGGTGCTGGTCAAGCCGAAGGAGCTCTCCATCATCCACGCCAATCTCAAACCAGAGAACATCATGCTGGTGGACCACATGCGCTATCCTTCCCGCGTCAAGCTCATCAACTTCGGCTCCACCAGCATCCTCACTGAGGTCTGCCATGTCAAGGAACCCTACATCCAAACCCGCTTCTACCGGGCACCGGAGACCTTGTTAGGGTTGCCCTTCTGTGAGAAGGTGGATGTCCGGTCTTTGGGTTGCATGATGGCCGAGCTTCAACTTAGGTTGGCCACCGACGAGTATGACCAGGTCCGCTACATCCGCTCCACTTTGGGGCTACCACGGTGTGAGTCGCTCTGTGCCGCCGGGAAGACGTGGTCCTTCTTCCGACGGGTGCCACATCCCCCCAGTTCCTGGCAGCTCAAAGCACCATTTGAGGAGATGGCAAAGCCAACAGCGAGGAGGAAATATGTCCTCTCCTTGCTGGATCCGTTGGCGGCGGTGAACATCTGCCTGGTGTCTTATCCGGGCCAAGAGGCGCTGGCTGAGTACTGTCAAGATGGTGGAGGTGGTCAAGAAGATGCTCACCCGGGACTCGCACGAGCGGCTCACAGCCAGCGCCACCCTCAAGCACCCCTTCGTCTCCTCGCGGCAGCTGAATCATAGACTCATCAAATCGTTGAGGTTGGAAAAGACCTTGAAGATCATCCAGTCCAACCATTAACCCAACATGACCAAGGCCACCACTAAACCAGTTAAGGGTGGAGTCATAATTTCATGTTTCCTGCCTTGGTGGCTGGATTATTTTTTAATGAAAGGAAAACGAGGAATCACTAAGGCTGGAAACGAGCTCTAAGATCATCAGTCCAACCGTCAACCCAACACCACCGTGCCCGCTAAACCATGGCCCCAGGTGCCACGTCCACACGGGTTTTGAACCCCTCCAGGGCTGGGGACTCCCCCACCTCTCTC